CAAATCTGGCCTCAGATACTTATTTGTCAGCTGTGTCTCTGGACAAGTCACTTAACCCTGTTTGCCTCAGTTTCCTCATCTGTAAAACGAGCTGGAGAAGAAAACGGCAAACCACTTCTAGTATCTCTGCCAAGAAAATCCAAAATAGGGTCATGAAGAGTTGAACATGATTTAAACGACTAAACCACAAAAGTCCCTCTAAATCTACTTATTATACTAAGTTTCTAACAGTTCTCAATGTTCCTGAAGTTATTTTGTAAAACATCTGTTCGAAATTCAGAATTTCCCCACTGTACCAATGTTATATCAAAATAGCAACTGACATCCATGGTTTTAAATGGTTTGAAAACTCTTTAAAGGCTTTAAGTATTTTACATACCTTATCTCATTTTTATCTTAACAACCCTATAAAGTATTTACAATCCCTATTTTACATATGAAGAAACTGAGACTCAAGTGTGCTTAAGTGAGGTGCCCATACTCACTGCGACTAGGTGTATGAAGCAGGATTCAAACTCAGGTGTTCAACTCAAAATCCCAGACCTGTTTCACTGTTGAATAATGTTAGGCTACCTTACAAAAGTCTATGAAAGCCACGATGATGTTGAAGTTGGGTACTAGCCTGCCTTCTGGCTCCTTAGCAACAAAAAACACGGAAAAATTTGTCTTGATTTGTTTTCATCTCCCTGACTGTATACCCTCTGTTGTTGCCCCAGGTTCCCAGAGCCTTAAGAGATTTACAGATCTGGAGTGAGAAGGGAAATCAGAGTCCATTTTACCCCAAGCTCCTCATTTAGAAAGGACACTAAACTCCAGGCTGGTAAAGCAGCTTCTCCAAATTCAAACAGTAAGCTTCAGAAAAGGGATTTGAAGGTAGATCTTCTGACTCCTTACTACTTCTAAGTCCCTCTTTACTTAAATCCCTCATTCCACCAGCCTGATTCCCCCAAAGTGCTTTTCAAACCAAATACCGCAAACAAAACTCCCATTTTCTTTAGATTCCCTTGAAATCCTTAGCAAAAATCAGCTGTAAAATCTAAATGAATATAGTTTGATTATCTGATAGCCTGTTGCTTGCTTTCATTTGCCAGAGTGGTTCAAGCTGATAGCTCCAATTTTTCACTGCCTTTACCACAAATCCTATCCCTTGTAAGAGCTTAAGCACCTTAAGGACAAGGTCTATCATTTTTTTAGGTTTCAGCACCTACACTGGTCTTAAAGATAGTAGGTATATAAGTGTCTCTTGCATTGAATTTGTTGAATAATACTTCTACTTTGAAAACTCACGATTCTATCTAAAAACCCAAGATTTTTCCTCACAGATCCTACTTCAGCAACAGTTAGGAGCTTCAGCAACGAAGAGGGGAGGAAGAATAAGGATAGATAAGAATGAAACCTTAACATAAACGAATTATTTGTAAAACAACAAACGCGTACAATGCTTTAGGATTTGCTAAGAGCTTCTCACATCTCTCCTGTGAAGTTATTATTCCTATTTTACAGATAAAAAAAACAGACAGGACTTGTGTGACCATGGGCAAGTCACTTAGTCTCAAGATATCAAATCTACCCACCAGATGCCTGCTCATATTTTAAACTCTTGTGTTACTTAAACTATGCATTTGTGCAAAGTCACTCCTCTCCAGTCAGGTTAAACTCTTTGGGGACCCTCTACCCAATAATATTTTCTAACCCCCCAAAACCTCAGGCACCCAAAAATATTTTGATTATAGAACACTTAAAATACATACAATTCTTTCTTTAAAAAAAATCGGAACTTTCCAATACATAAACTTAAAGGTAGTCCAAACATCCATGCTTCAAAGAACAAAACTGATTGGCAATTAGCATATCAATTGTTCATAAAGGAGTACTTCCAAAGAACTTCTTAAGACAGTGAGTTCTAGCTAAACATTTACTTAACCAACTTATTTGAATTACAAATTCTTTTTTCATGGACACTGAGAAAGAGGCAACCTTAGGTCTAATCAACATCAAAATTATCATGGATTCCACATTAGGTGGAATTGAAGTCAATAACCTTTTTACTGTAAACTTATTTTAATTGGTTTCAAACAAAAATTTTATCTCATAAAATAATCTACTCTGCAAATTCAGTGTGACAGACTTGCATAAGAACTATATTTTAAGTACAAATTAGTTTGAAATGAACATGAAAACAGAAGGCAGATCAAAGGATCATCATAAAGTTAGCACTTTATAGTGGTCAAGGAATTTAAAGCCAAAATCATACTTACCAATTAAGCTCTCTTCACTTTAAATCTTTCAGGCCCAAATGTCTCATAAGCTACTCTAAGGAGGCAGCTAGCTGGAGCATAGCTGGACCTCTGGAGGCAAGAAGCCCTGGTCAAATTCTCCCTCTAGCACTTAGTAGCCGGGTTATCCCCAGGCAAGTCACTGGAACTCTGCAAGCCTTAGTTTCCTCATCTGTAAAATGAGGACAATAATAACACCTCACTAAAGTTAGGCATAATTCTAAACAGTCAATTTCAGCAAATTTACCTTGTACCAGCTACGGAAAATATTATAGAAGTTCTTTTTGTAACAAATTGGGATAATTTCAATTAATTCACCTATTTTTTTCCTAAGGAAGTACTGTATTATGTTTTAAAATTATATCTTTCAATGTTTTGTCGTACAAAAAAAATCGTAGTTCCTTCCGGTTTGTGACAAATTGTCAGGTAAAATGCCCTAGAGAAGTAAATTTCTGGAATTTATAATCATTATTCCAATGTTTCAGTAAGCAAAAGTAAACATACTGCTGAAATATGCATTGTTCCAATAAGCTAACCTGGGATACTAACTTTTCCCATTAAACAAGAAACAATTTGTTGGCTTTTTTTTTTCTGGTTTAATAAGCAAACTTGGCTTAATCTTGGAAATGGGAAGAAAGCTGCCTGGATGACAAATGGTATTAAATAGTTTCGTTGCACGAGGACTTTGGGCATCACACTTTGTTAGATAATTACATTTAAGAACTCCCTGACACTAGGTAACTATTAGTTTTGGAGACACTGTCTCCCCAAAGTTTGAGAGCCTCATTGGAAAGGAGATAAGTCGGACTCCTACTCCACTTCCTTTCCTTTCAAACTGAAAAGTACTATTAAACTTTAGATGTCTGTAAGCTCTTGAGATATTTGTTAAATGGGATGGTTCTCGGAGTGGGGGAGGGATACTGGTGACGTAAAATCAGAACATATCAATAACATATACTGTGTATATATGCAAGTCTGCGTACAAGTGCATATGTATATATGTAAGCTTGTGTACACACATGGATGCAATGTATACACATGAACACACACACACACACTTTTTCTTTTAAAGAACTGAAACACATCAGAAGAACCCTGGAACCCCTGCCCCACCTCCCTGATTCAGCAGTCCCAAATGCTTGGTACCCGAGCGTCCTATCTCCCTCCAGCTGGATCCAACCCCTTTCCCGACTGCTTCAAAGGACAATCAATCAAAAAAAAAAAAGTGGCTATTCAATGCACGACTTCAGATCACCAAGGAAGAACGCTTTTTACCTTTCTGATTTCATCCAGCACCGTTTCAAAGGACTTTTTATCCATCTTGACTGGGGTCTAGACGCGGTCAGGTTTGCAACAAAAGCATTCGTCCTCGCGCCGCTCCGTTTTGTTTTATAAAGTAGCTAGGGTTGAGGTATCGGTAAATGACCCCGAAGGTAAGACGGAACTAGAGGATCAGTCAAAGAAGCCTTTAAAAAATAAAAGCTGCCTTAAAAAGCAGAAACTTGGGAGAAGGAAAACAAAACGACAATTCCCTGCAAAGTTTCCCCCAGTTCCAGTGACGTGCAGACACGAAGTGGACGCGGCGGTACCCGGTGAGTGACGAGCAGAGAGCGGGACTCATTCGGTGGAGAGGGGCGCTCGGGGCCCGGGGTAGAAGAGAAGTCGAGCCCGGAGGGGGAGGGGGGCGGCAGCAGCGGCGGCAGCACCTGCGCCAGGGCTGCAGCCCGAGAGGAGGCGAGGCGCCCTGCACCTGTCCCCGCCTCCGCCGCCGCCGGTCCGTGCGCCCGTCACCGCCAGCCCGGCCCCATGGCCGGCCGCGCACCCTCCGCGCTCGCTCGCTCTCGTCCCCTCCCGGCCGGCGCCCTCGGCTCCCCACGCTCCGGACCGCGACGGCGGCAGCGCTGGGGCTCTCTTTGTTACCAGAACCCGCGGCTTCCGGGAGCGGGCAAGGCTGCCGAGCGCCCGGAGAGCCGGATGGAGGGGGAAACCTTCTAGGGCAGGGGGGATCGCGAGCACCGAGCAGCGAGGCCGCGCGAAGCAGCCGGGGATCGGAGGCCGAAGCCCCACCTCTGGGGGAGGATGGGGGGAGGGACCTTCAAAGCCGTGCGTCGCGGCCAAGAAACTCAACTCTCCGCGTCTCCTACACGCGAGGAACAAAACACAGCCGCCCCCCCACTCCCCTTTCGTGGGGCCCTAAGCTGGGCTGGGCTGTCTTCTAAGAATGCCAGAATTCACAAAGAATTAGGTCGGGATTTTAATTTTTCCCTTGCGTCTGCCTACGTGAATTCTAGGCGTTGCCCGCTTTATCGTCCAGATTTGCTAGTGATCTGCCTGATTTTCCACTACAAGCTGAGCAGTATAGAAGGAGAGCGCAGTGAAGGCAGAATCCAGGGCACCCCCAGCGAGGACCCGGGAAAGCCCCTGCTCGGAACAGCAAGAAGGGGTGGAGCCGGATAGTCACCTGATCCCACCACCTGCTGGGTCGCGTGACTTGCTTGTTTGGAAGGCAGTTTGGAGCCGTGGTTAAGTGGAGAGGCTGATGGTGAGGTGTTCTCTGCCTCCTTGCGGCTCAAAAGTTTCCTCCGCTTCCTTCCCTTCCTGTCACGGGGGTGCGAGGAGCCTCTCTTTCTTGACCCGCTGAAGTCCTTTGGAGCCGCCTCCCACTCAGTTGTCATCCGTTGCGACTACCCGTTATCGTAACCGCGTTCCTGTTCCTTCCCCCACCGAGCTGCGCTCATGGCCAGGCTCTGGATCTGCGTGGGGACCGCCACCTTTTTCCTGGCCTTTCTGGTTTTCCATTCCCGCTTCTGCAGGTCGCCGGTGAGTCTGGTGGGGAGGGAGGATTCACCTTTAGGGAGGTATGTGAATGGGTGGCTGGCACCTAATAGGAACCAGCGGGGATTAGGTCCTTCAGAACACCACAGCACCCCCTCCCCCAAAATAAGCTCCGTTTTACACATGAAGCCAATAAAGGTCCTTTTGTGCTCCTCAGGTCAAATAAAGTAAGCATAGCTGTACTGCTCCCCAAGTTCTGGATTCTTGTTCTTTAACTTGGGAGTTTGTAATCATATTTGTGTCGTGGACCTCTCTGGAAGTCCTACAGTAAGGTTTTTAAATGCATAGACAAATACACAGAATTACAAATACAGTTATCAGACTATTAGAGAATAATGTGTGGTACAGCTATTTCAAAACGGTAGTGAAAATTTACCGTATTTTTACTTACCTGCAATACTAGAATGAGAAAATCACTTATTTCTCGATGGTGCAGTGAATAGAGTGCTGGGCCTGGAGTCAGAAAGACATCTTCCAGAATTCAGATTTGGCCCTAGGCACTCTGCGCAAGTCACTTAACCCTATTTTTCCCAGCTCCCTCATCTATAAAATGAGTTGGAGAAGGAAATGGCAAAGCACTCAGGTGTCTTTGCCAAGAAAACCCGAAATGGGGTCACAAAGTGTAGGATGTGACTGAAATGACTGAATAATGAACAACTGCTAAAATGACCACTAATGCTACTGTGGTTTATTGCCTACACTAATAAATGAATAATTGAAATAAACTTCAGTTACAGGCTAGTGAAAGTAAAGGTAGAACTTTGTACCCTCCCCCCCCATCCAAATTTACAAAGCCTCTAAAATCTATTTAAGGTTCCCTGGGAATGCATTTCTGGTTCAGTATTAGGAAAACTGTCAGCGTAATTGACCATATCAAAAACAAAACTAACAAATAATCTGATTATCTCAATAGATGCAGGAGAAGCTTTTGAAAAAATACATCACCCATTCCTATTAAAAATACTAGAAAGCATAGGTGTAAATGGAGTCTTCCTTAAAATGATAAGTAGCATCTACCTAAAACCTTCAGCAAGCTTTATATGTAATGGGGACAAGCTAGAAGCATTTCCAGTAAGATCCATTATCACCACTGTTAATTCAATATTGTACTAGAAATGTTAACTTTAGCAGTAAGAGAAGAAAAAGAAATTGAAGGAATTAGAATGAGCAAAGAAGAAATAAAACTGTCATTCTTTGCAGATGATGTGATGGTGTACTTAGAGAATCAAGTAAAAAACTACTTGAAATAATAAACAACTTTAGGCTAGTTGCAGGATATAAAATAAACCCACATAAATCATGGGCATTCCTATGTATTACCAACAAAGCCAGGAACTATACGAACACAATTACAAAACACTTTTCACACAAATAAAGTCAGATCTAAACAGGTGGAAAAACATCAGTTGCTCATGGGTAGGCCAAGCTAATATAATAACAATGACAATTCTATTAAGTGCCATACCAATCAAACTACCAAAAACTTGTTTTATAGAGTTAGAAAAAATATTAACAAGATTCATTTGGAGTAACAAAGGGTCTAGAATATCAAGGGAACTAATGAAAAGAAATGCAGGGGAAGGTGGCCTAGCTATTCCAGAACTTAAATTATGTAATAAAGCAGCAATCATCAAAGCTGCTTGGTACTGGCTAAGAAATAGAATGGTGGATCAGTGGAATAGATTAAGTATGCAAGACACAGTAGTCAGTGACTATAGTAATCTATTATTTGATAAACCCAAAGACTCCAGCTTCTGGGATAAGAACTCACTCTTTGAAAAAAACTGCTGGGAAAACTGGAAAAGAGTATGGCAGAAACTAGGCATAGATCAAAATCTCACACCATACAACAAAGTAAAGTCAAAATGGGTTTATAATTTAGATATAAAGGCTGATACTGTAAGCAGATTGGGAGAGCAAGGAATAGTTACCTATCAGATTTGTGGAGAACAGAAGAATTCATGACCAAACAGGAGATAGAGAACATTACAAAATGCAAAATGGATAACTTTGATTACATGAAATTGAAAAGTTTTTGCACAAACAAAGCCAATGTAACCAAGATTAGAAGGAAAGTAGAAAATTGGGAAAGAATTTTTACAACCAGGCTGTCCAATAAGGGCCTTATTTCTAAAATATTTAGAGAATTAAGCCAAATTTATAAGAACATAAATCATTCCCCGATTGATAAATGGTCAAAGGATATGAACAGGCAGTTCTCAAATGAAATTAAAGCCATCTATAGTCATATGAAAAAATACTTTAAATCACTGTGGATTAGAGAAATACAAATCAAAACAACTCTGAGGTACCGCATCACACCTATCAGATTGGCCAACGCTACAAAACAGGAAAATGATAAATGTCAGAGAAGATGTGGGAAAATTGGAACACTAATGCATTGTTGGAGTTGTGAAATGATCCAACCATTTTGGAGAGCAATTTGGAACTATGCCCAAAGGGCCATAAAAATGTGCATACCCTTTGACCCAGCAATAGCACTTCTAGGGCTATATCCCAAAGAGATCATACAGATGGGAAAAGGACCCACATGTACAAAAATATTCATAGCAGCTCTTTTTGTGGTGGCAAAGAAGTGGAAATTAAGAGGATGCCCATCAATTGGGGAATAACTGAACAAGTTGTGGCATATGAATGTAATGGAATACTATTGTGCTGTAAGAAATGATGAACAGGCTGACTTCTAATTCTTTACACCATGACTAATGTGAAAATATGTTTAATGTGAATGTATATGTAGAGCCTATATCAAATTGCATGCCGCCTTGAAGAGGAGGAAGGGGAAGAGGTAGTAGGGGGAGAAAATTTAAAACTCAAAATCTTTTTTTTTAATATAAATTTATTTATTTTTAGTTTTCAATATTCACTTCCACAAGTTTTTGAGTTCCAAATTTCTCACCCCTCCCCCCACCCCAAGATGGCATGCATTCTGAATACCCCTTCCCCTGTTCTGCCTTCTCTTCTATCTCTCCCCCCTCCCTTCTCTTAATCCCTTCCCCTTCTGTTTTCCTGTAGAGGATAGACTTCTGTACCCCATTTCCTGTATTTCTAAAACTCAAAATCTTAAGGAAGTGAATATTGATAACTAAAAATAATTTAAAAATAAAATAAGATGTCCTGTTCCGCAGTCTCCAGGTTAAGAACAACTACTTTAACCTGATGAAGTGATTCCTTATAATTTACTGACTGCTATTCTGTATGAATGCCTATGGAGAAAAATGAAGCTCGCTAAAACCTTGGAGAATCTAGTTATTCTTAAAACAACTTCTTTTACTTTAGAATGGAATTAATTCTGTTTTTCATGTTTTTGTTTAAGGGCTTAGGAAGCTTTGCTTTTGTTGTTTCCTGGAGAACAGAGAAACCTCTTTACCGTTTAGATGTAGGCTGGCCTAAGTATCCAGAGTACTTCACTGGTACAACATTTTGTGTTGCAGTAGACTCCCTTCACGGATTGGTTTATGTAGCACAGGTAAGTAAAAAATGGGACTTTTTCCCTCCATAGGGAATAATATGATTTTTTTAACTGTCAGTGTTTTGTTTTGTTTTTTAAATTTATGTTTTCAGCAGTGTAGAGAACATACGATGAGGAAATTTTCTTTATCTTTGAAAACTGATAACATCTTTATAAATCTTTGAGTTTTGGGATTCTTTATTGTCAGTCTATAGGCATCTAAGTGGCTGCTATGTATCAGGCGCTATATTAAGAGCTGCGAATACAAAAAGAAGCTAAAGACAGCTATTGCCCTTGAGAAGGTCATGATTAAGTGGGGGAGGCAATAAGCAAACAAATATGTGCAAATAAACTGCACACAAGATAATTAGAAAATAGCTAACGGGGAAGATATTGGAATTAACAGGGGTTGGAAAAGTTCCTATAGTAGGTGGGATTTTAGTTGGAACTTGAGGGAAGCCAGGAAGTGGAGATGAGGAAGAGCATTCGGGGCCTGGGAAATAGCAAGAGAAAATGCTCAGATCTGAGAGCATGTCTTGTTTGTGGAACAGTACCTAACACATAAGTGCTTAATAAATGTTGATTGTTTGGAATAGTAAGAAGACTAATATCCCTGGATCAAACAATATGTGGCAGGGAGTAAGATATGATGATGGAAAGGGTTGACTGGAAGAACTGAGATGTTAAGTGATATTCCCTTGGTTACACAGCCAGTATATATCAGTGGCTGGACTGGAACTGTTTTCTACTTCTAAGACTATCTGTTCCTCTGACTACAATGCCATGTTTTCTCTCTACAGTTCTTAACCAGTAACACTTATGATATATTTATAATGTTTCTTTAAGATCTTATTGGAGTTTAAATTGTATATTGCTTTAATTACATAGCATTAAACCAGTATGAAAGTGCCAAAGATTTTATTTTGGGTGTGAGTTTACAGGTTAACAACTATGTTAGGTTTGGGGGTGGTGTTTTGTTTAAGCTTTTTGTAGGTTTCCCAGTTAAGCTTACATTTTATTTTACTCTACCACAGTAAGGATTGTATTTGCTTAAACCTGGTCTTGTCTAAGCAGATGTTTTTGTATACCTTTAGAGAGGGGATAACATACCAAAGGTATTAGTGTTCACAGAGGATGGATATTTCCTACGAGCCTGGAATGACACTGTTGACACACCTCATGGTATCTTTGCAGCCAGTACCCAATATGAACAATCAGTCTGGATCACGGATGTAGGAAGTGGTATGTGTAGTAACATCTAATAAATTATGATGGAAGAACTTAATGTCTTCTCCCATTATTTTCTTTGTTGTGCTTCATTTTTTGAAAGCTGATTTCCTCAAATGGTCGATTTTTCAAGTCTAAGAAAACTTAGAAATTTCTTTCCGTCTTCAAAATCCAGTACAGGATATAAGCAATGGCAACATCTGTAGGCTTATTGGTCACTCTTAACATACTGAAGCCAGCAATTACCCATCGTCCTTGGTGGCCCAGCACAGAGAATCACTGAACTGGGCTGGGTCAGGATAACTTTGGCTTTGATGACTGAGTAGCCCAGATAGACTGAATCTGTCTCCATTTTGGTCAGTACCATGGAGGAGATCTATTTATGGTAGAAGGCCTAGTTTTCTTCTTTGTAGGGTATTTGAACTTTGGGCTTGTCCCTGTCATTTGCCTACAGGAAGAGGCAGTGAAACATATTTGGTTATACTACAGCATGTGCAGATTGAGTAATTGTAATTACTAGTGTGATTCCCAAGCTTGCTATTAATACGACAAAGAATTCTTTAAAATGAGCCAGAGAGGGAAAAGATAACCTAGTTTGGTTACATTTTGTGTTCCCAACTTGCTTCAGTTTTTTTCAGCCTATGATATCATTCTTTTGCATTTAATGCTAGAATGTTATTGTTTTAAAAGACAATTCTGGTTACTAAATGTGTGCATGAATTTTTAAATTGTAATTTGTTTTTCTGTGTTGGGAAAAAATATAGACAGATATAGATTATATCTATCTATCTAGGTATATACACATACACTGCAGAAATCTGGGCCCCTTTATTAAGAAAGAACAGGAAACACAAGTGGAATGTGGTTTTCTCTCTTCTCTAATTGACCCCAAATAGCTATTTTTTCAAGACAGTTTGTACTAAGACTACCACTAGCAAAATTAAATTTTTTTTGTTAACATGCTTACTCAAAAAAGGAGATGTAATATAATAATTGGTGTAAAAATTTCTGTAACCCCAGTGGCATCGTTAGTGATTCTATACATTTGTTTCTACCAAGTATACCAACAAAATGGGAAAACTAGGTTTATCAGCAACATGTTCAGATTCAGATACGGAGGGGGAAAAAGACATTTGAATTGGTGACCCAGGACTTGGGGAATAGCAGTGGCCTTGAATTTATTAAAAACTTTACAAAGGAGATATATATTTGAGAGATGCATAGTTTCTGTGGTCCAGAAATTCATAAACTAGTTTCCTCAGTTTAAATTAAAATGAAAGTGACAATTTCTAGTCAGTATTGTATCAGATATGCCCCTTTTTCCAAATCCATCTTCCAAATTCATTCTTGTAGAATGAGTTATGATTTTAGCTTGTTTGTACATATCACATTCCATTGAATTTATTTGACATTTTTAAACATAACAAATTAAAAATTCTCCTATTTTAGGTGGTGACATTTACCTGATTTATGACTTGTGTATACTTGCACAATTTTTAAGTTTTAATTTGAATTTTGAATTAAAGAGTTATTTATCAAGTAAAATGTTAAATGCCTTAGGAAAACTGAGGAAAGTTTCCTTTTTAAAAATGAATTCTCCCCTAACTTATCTGATTTGTAAATCTAGATTTTATTTTATACTAGTAGAGTAAAAACCTTGTAGCATAATACTTGTTAGTATATAATTTGAATCATATTCTGCTCTCTGCTTGACTGGATCTTAATAACAGTAACAACACCATTAGTAATGATAGCATTTAGGGATCTACCATGAGCCAGGCACTGTGAGAAGCACTTTACAAATATTAACTCATTCAGTCTTCACAACAACCCTTAGAGGCAGATACTGTTATCCCCATTTTACAGTTAAGGAAACTGAGGTAGAGGTTAAGGATTGCCTGGGGTCATACATGGCCAGTAAGTATCTGATGCTAGGTTTGGACTCAGACCTTCCCAACTTTCAGGTTCAGCCTCTTAACTTTATTACCTACTTGTCTCTTTAATGAGATATCTAGTTTCTGTGTCCTTTAATGAAAATGTCACTTATTAAAGGTTTTGGGATTTTTTTTTTAGACCTAATAATTTTAGAATTGATAAAACCTTAAAAACAAGTCCTACATACAGTAAATATTGTTGCACCAGAAGATCTCAAAGTTTCAATTGAGGACTCTTTTTTTTTTTTTTGACCGTTTGCTATGAGGGCACCCTAGGACAGTTGTAAAACCAATACTGTCTCTGAGTTAATTGTAGGGAGATTTGACCTGTCCCTCTTCTTCAAGCTCTCATTGATAAAGAACTTGTACTTTCAACACGGTTCATCCTCTGATTCTGTTTTATAACATTCCACTAAATCCCACATATGGAAACAAGACAAATTTTCTTTCTTCTTTCATTGTGTTTTTTTTTCCCTAACCACAGATGTGTTAAAGTTTTTCCTAGTTTCCTCAACCTGAAAGAAAATCAGTGCAGTAGTCAGAAAGCTGGCTATTAATCAGCATTATTTTATTTTTTAAAATGAGATTCTTTCCCTTTTTGTATTTCTTTATAATAATGTACTCAGTACTTTATAGTAATTCTTCTTGCCCTGTCCAAACATCTTGTGGTTCAGCCTTTGGAATTATTCTCACTAATCAAGACTCCAAACAATAGCATCTGGAGGTTGAAGGGACTGACTTTTAGAGCCCAACTGGTCCAGCCTCCCCGTTTTACAGATTAGGAAGCTGAAACCACAGGATGATGAGTGACTTGCCCAAAAGCCACATGCCCTTTTAGTGTCCAAGGCAGGATTTGGACTGACTTGAGTCCAAGAGAACCATGCCCTTTCCACTCTACCATACTGTGCTTAACTTTTAGTTATTTTTTAGAAGACACCTAGACATTGATTCAGGTTACTTTAAATTCATGTTATGTAATTTGTTACTTTTGTGACATTTCATATTATAAATTTAGTTAGTTTTGAACCTCCATATTGCTTTCCATTAGTTTTCTCTAGGATAATTCTTCAAAAGAGATAAGTTTCATGCCTTTGCTTTCAAGAAAATCTTACATGGAAACAACTGTCTAAATAAAAAGTTAAGACACTGGTAATTTTAGAACATTTATTCTTGCTTTAAAAAGAGTTGAATTATGAGTACTAAAAGAAAAAATAGTATATTTGTATTATAGAAATTATAGCCCTCTAGGGGCCTACAAAAACTTGGATATTAAAAAGAAGTTGAAGTTACAAACTAATGGTCTTTCCAAAGTTATCCCTCCATCAGTACTTAAATCCCTTAATTATAAATGGTTATGTGATGTCAGAATAGGTCCAAAAGATCACATTTATTTGGTTCCAGTAATTTAGTAGCATTACTAACAGAAAATCTCTATTCTAAAATAATCAACATTAATCAAGTCAGTCTAGAAGGTCCAGTATAGAAAGAAATGTCATTTTAAAAAATCGGAGAGTCCAAATCAACCTCAAACAATTGAGATTTTATATAGTAACAATTTAGATAATAGTGCATATCAGAATACAGTACCTCATTATCCATCCCTTCCCAGTCTTTTGTGATTTTTTTCCTCAGTTTTTTTTTTTAATTTAATGCACAATCTATTTAAACATTTGTCTAAGAGTTTTATTTGTGAAAAGTACTTATTTTAAATGCAGGATCCTACGGACATACAGTGAAAAAATACAACTCCTTTGGTGACCTCATTCAAGTTCTGGGTACCCCAGGCAAAAAAGGGAGTAGTATAAATCCAATCCAGTTTGATAACCCAGCAGAGATATATGTGGAAGACACTGGAGAAATTTACCTTGTGGATGGAGATGGAGGACTGAATAACAGGCTGCTTAAATTGACCCAAGGTATAACACCTCATTTTGGTGTTAGAGTCATCTAGAAGAGTGGTCTTAAGTTAAGGCTTATAACCATAGGGAGCCATGGTGTGATCCAAAGGTGACCAATTAGTTTACGGGAAGATGGATCACAGAAAATACTTGCTGTGCTGGCCAGGTGACTTGTTTCTAACACTGCAGTATTTCCCCTTGTCCGCCATACACACTCCAGTGATTATACGGATTCCCAAACTCTACCCTTCTGCTCAGGGCACATACTCTTCAGGACACATAACCTACCTGGGACCACTGTACCGGCAACTGCACAGGTGGAATTGACCCTTCTGGACTTACATGTTCAGTACCCCAGCCCACCTCAGTCTTCTTGGAACTGTGACAAAGCGTGCTCAGAGGCTGATGAATCCTGTCTTACCATTTCTAGTGGTGGTATTAGTGGGACAGAGTGCATTGTGCATAGGATGGCTAGGAGTGGCTGGACTGTGATCCACATCACACATCTTGTTGCATTATTTTCCCCAAAAAATCTACCCCTTTTTGGAACTTCTCTGTTTCTATTCATTCACTCAAGTTCTCAACTTAATGGGTCATCTTCTATTCCTTACCTTCCTACACTCCTTACAGGCGATCATCTCAGCATCTCAAATATATCCACTCCTCTTCACTCATAGCTATCATATTCATTTGGGCCCTCATCTCCTCTTGCCTGTACTACACCCATATACAGCTGCCACATTGATATTCCTGACCGTGTCTCCAGTGGCTCCCTGTTGACGTTAGAGAGAAGTAGTTCATCTTTGCCTTAGCACAGCTAATCTCCCTCCCCCCCCCCTCTCTCTCTCTCTCTCCTCCTCCTCCTCCTCCTTCTCTCTCTCTCTTCTCTCTCTCTCTCTCTCTCTCTCTCTCTCACTCTCTCACACACGAAAATAAGTAAATATTCATATATTGGGGTGCATGGTCAAAAAAACTTTACTGATAAAGGTCTATATGATCAAAAAAGTTAGGAGACCACTATTCTAGGAGGCTATGCACATGGCATTTGGATATATTGTATGGAAAATGCTGGCATATGGTATGATTTTGTTAATGAGTCATTCCTTAACCTCAGAAGAGTAGGTCAGTAAAGTGAAGTTTGTATAGGAGTCACAGTGAGTTTAGGGAGCTGAAAAAGTGACTGGGTGACCATAAGAAAAAAAAATAAGGATAAAGAGGCTTAAATTTGAGTCTAAGAATTAATCATTTATTTGATTCTAATAGGAGTAAACAATTATAATGCAGGTGGGAAGGTATGGCTAATACTCAAACAATTGGAGAACTATTTAAGTACTAAACTATGGTACCGACTTAAATAATGCAGGGTATTCCAAAATCTTAGCGCTTAAAACTCCACTAAGACTTTGGGATTACTCTGTGTAGGAGAGTAAAGAAGGGAAAGATTAGATTAAGTGTAGGCAGGCTCAGTAAGGAAGACTTCATAAAGAAAGCGGGACTGGAACTGAGCCTTGAAAAAGTGGGGAGGGTTTGGATAGGTGGTTAGTAGAAGGGAGGACTTGACTAGTTGTTTAGTGAAGGAGAGTAAACATTTGAGGATCACTCTAAGGTCGTCCATCTCAGTGACCAGCAGATTGTGGAAAATTAGGAAGAGGGATTGTTTGGGGGGAAAGTTTTTGAAATGTCCTATAGGGAGTTGGTAAAGTAGGAGTGAAACACAGGGGAGAGGCTTGGAGATCTGTCGAAGAGGAGATCATTTAATCCATAACAAAATATGAAGACAAATCAAATATGAGAGCTCAAGGAGAGAAGAGTGTTACAGGTGATTTCAAAGCTAGCAGGGCAGACTAGAAGAGTGATGCTATTGGTGATGTTTCGTATAGGCATTAGTCTGGCATTAAGGCCTTTTGGTATCTGGCTCCCACCTACGTTTATAGCCATGTTTCACGAACTCTGCTTTTGAGCCAAACTGGGCTAGTGATTCTTCAAACTTACCACTCCCATCATTGTGTGTTTTATATAAGTTATATCCCGTTCTTGGAATGAACTCCTTCCCCATGGCAGGTGTCCCTTGATCTGTTAAGTTTTCCCTGATAGGTTACCTCAGTTTTCTAGGGAACATTTTGTGTCTCCTTATCTCTTATGCCACCAGTATGCCCTCCTTGAGGAGGGCAGTTGTTTTGTTTGTGTTTTTTATTCCCTGTGCTGATAATTGGTGCTTAATGAAAGAGGAAGTATAAGAAGGAGGATGGAAAATTAAGTCAGCTTGGGGGGGGGTATGGGAGAGCAGATGATTTAGGAAAAGAAAGAGTATAATAAATAATTCCTTCAGACTTGAGGCTTTGATGTAGTTTTTTTGACTCTTAACTATATAGCCATATGCCTTTCGTATGATATTTTTTGACTCAACTGTGTAACCATAGACCTTTTACATGAGAGATTCTGTGTTGTGATTATTTGAAGGGATACTTCTTTCGTTGTTCTATAAATTTGACTATATGTGATCTAATATTTTCTTTTATCTAGATTTTGTGATGCAGTGGATTCGTGGGGAAAATGGAACAGGTCCAGGTCAATTCAACATTCCACATAGTATAACAGTTGATTCAACTGGTCGGGTAAAAACATTTTTCTGCCTATATCTAAGTACACATTTACTTGAAACGTTAAATATGTAAGGACTTAAGAGATAAGAAAATACTTCATTGTTTTAAAAAATCATATTACCCATACTTTAAGTATTCTAAAATGTAGTTGAAAAACTTTTCAACAATTCAAAGATTAATTCATTTTTGTAGCAGAAAAAAATGCTGGTTTTGAAGTCATGTGAGACTTGGCTTTGAATACCTCTCTAATACTAGGTGTGCCACCATGGACAAATCAGTTTCCTCTTTGTGAACCTCAGTGTCCTCTTCTGTATAGTGTCACTAATCACTACCTCAGGATCATTTCGAGGCTCAAATGAGATGTGTTTTGTAAAGCACTTGGCAAACTGAAAAGTGCTATTAAGCTTTAGGTCTGTAAGTGATTATGATCTTTGTCACAGATAGACTTGAAGAAAATGTGTTCTCAATTTAGAATCCCTCATGATTAAAGGAGATTGAGAGATTTCAAGCCTGAGCCTTAATATCCTCTCTTCTGTAGTGTGCAGTTTTGTTACTCGTTCTAGACAAGATTGGTAATGGTGGTCACTCATCCAGCCCTGGAAGCTCACTTGACTGGCCAAGCTGAATCTCTTGACATAGGAATTGTCAGGGATTCACTCTAATACTAGATAGGTGAGCTCAGCCATCTGGCCATTCTCACCACCAGAATGAGTCCCAGCCCATCCATGGCTACCTATTCTCTGAAAAATTCCTTTTCATCTTCTACAAATAAATACCCATGGAGGCTATGGAGGTCAGTGTAATATAGCATTGTGTTTTGTTTTGTTTTTATGCATGTTAGCTTGCTCCCCCACTTCCCAGTTGTAAGTCTTTGTTGCTGCCTTTTATGTCACTTTATAAGCACACTTTGGAGTTGGTAATATTCTGTGCCTACTTATGCTCACCATGTGTTTTTTTTTAAATATCTGTTGACATTGAATAAATATGGGTTTTCCAAGCAAATGAGTCAACCACAGTATATTATCACAGTGCTGCAATTAAAGTAACTTTCTTCTGAGTCTCTGACATTTATTCTTTATAGAGACTGGACTGTACCAGCTGGCGGATTGTCACAAATTATAATCAAAATGATTTAGCTGCCAAGCATATAGAGTTATCTGTGAAATAATGGGTCCAATGTGGGGCTACTTGTCTCATTGACTTTTTTTTTCTAACTGACCTTTTAGTAGAAAAATGAGCTACTTTTTTTTAGTGAAATACTTAATGTTTTATGTTATTATATAGTAGTTCAGTTGTATACAATAAACCATGTGTTTGAAAAAAATGTTTTCAATGTAGATCCTTACTAATAACCATTTAATTGATTCCTAGGTATGGGTTGCTGACAGAGGAAACAAAAGAATCCAAGTATTTGATAAAAATACAGGGGAGTGGTTGGGATCATGGAGTGATTGTTTCAAAGAAGATAGTCCTTATTCTGTCAGGTAATATTCAAAGAGAGATTTTTAAAGCTATTAGATTTGTAGTGCCATTCCTCTGGAAGAGCTGTGTACACTGTTAAGAATCTGTTTAATGTTAAAATTTGCAAGCAAAGAAAAAAAGCAGAAAAAATGAAGATTATGAAGGATGAGAGAGAAAAGAACAGTCAGAGGACTAGCCATGGCATGGCATATCAAACCCAAGGCAAAGACAAGCATCAGGCTCCTAAATGTGCAGCCAGTAAACACTGGTGTGAGAAGAGATGCCTCGTCAGCTTTCTTCTAGGTCTCTGGAGGCAGGATCTGTAGGCTGAGATGTTTGGACCACTGACTGACACCTCCAGTTTCACTCACTTGTAAAGGACTAATTCTAAGACTTTGTCTATTGAGTGTTGCCAAATTAGCTTTTCATTCTCTTCCTTTAAATAGTAAATTAACCTGTGTATCTTCATGGATGTGTCTGGTGTGTACTTGTCACTGGGCTGAGTGCTGTTGGGGGTACCAATGTGTAAATAACCTTTGTTCTGAAGTTACAGTCTTGTTAAAATGGTTGTCACATTTAGAACATTTCACATACATTTAGGATACATTTCTTGTATTGTTCTTTTGTAGGTTTACTCCTGATGAGAAATACCTCATTGTTGCCCAGTTGAATATCAACAGACTCATTCTATTATCTGCACCGCCTATAGGGAACATTGGAGACTGTGTTGTGGTAAGCACAGTCCAGCTAGCCAGCCAAGTGTCACCCCATCTTGTGGACGTTGATAGGAAGACTGGAGCGATCTATGTGGCAGAACTTGGGGCAGAACAGGTTCAGAAATATGTCCCATTAAAATAAATAACTATCTTCCTTCACTTAGATATTCATAAATTTACTTTTCCCAATGCATGACCATTACAGATATTTCAGTGGAAAGCTTTTGTGATTTTCTCACTAATGACTAAATACTCATGTAAGAATTTAGTGTTCTGGTATATTCTTTTTAAAAAACGCTTCAGGAAGCTGTTTTTTTTTTAATTAATAATCATTGAATCCAGATATTTTGTTGGTACCATCACATCTTAGCTTCTTTTGTTTTAGATTAAAGGGCAATTTAAGAGAGAAAATGTGATTCCAAAGAATTGGAATAAAAGGTACATCATTTTGATATTGAACCAAGTAACTTTCCCATGGAAGGTTGCCTTTGGGGTGGGGAGTAATGTTATAGATACAAGACTTGAAGGATATTTTTTAATGCTTTTCCAGAAACAGTCTGCAAGTCTCAAACTGTTATGATCCATATAGTGAATGGCAAGTGAGATTGTTAGGCAGCAGACATGGATTTTAGGACATCAGAAGCATGCCATTGAACTCATTTTGTTTCTATGGCTTTGAAGCATATCGTTTAATTCTTTTAATTTAATAATATAGTAGTACCTATGCACTTTACCACAAAAGATTTAAAAAATAAAACGTTGTGAGCTTTTGCTTCTTAAGCCTGTTCCCTTAGTAAACATAGAAGGTAAAAAAGAATTAATACATCTACCTCAGGGAGGTATTGGGAGAATTAACATGCTGGTGTTTGCCAAAAATGTTGAGGTGCTGAGATCAATGTTTTTTCTCTTTCTATGTTTCTGTTCCTGTACCATTCTTTCATGTGATATACCAGCTTAATTATAACCAATTTTCAGTTTGTTCTTTTCTATTCCAGTACTTGATGCTTACGTTGGCATATTTCTTGGCTAACTACCTTTTCCTGTTATTATCATGTACTCCCTACATCACTTGATAGTATTATGTACCTGAATTAGTTATAGCACATGTTTACTCTTAGCGTGTTTTCCCTCACAAGTCAGCAGATACCCCAGCCAGCCACCCTCTGAGACCTGTGTTAGTTTTTCATAATTCTGGTTCATTTCAATGTTGGCCTAAGTAAAATAAAATTACTAAGTGAAGTGTCTCTGCAGAAATCACATAATGTGTTTGAAAGGCAAATACAGATGATTTTGTGGTTATCCATGCAACTCTAGTAATCTGGAGTTAAGAGTTTATGAGTCAGCATGTTGTGTTTTTGCTTTGACTGTACTTTATTTTGGTATATTCTTTGGAATTTAATTTGTACAAAGCCAGGAACTAGATGATTTGGAAGCTCATTTCTGTTATTTAGGACTTGGTACAACAACTCTCTTTATAATTACCTTATAACTTTGGTAGTTGAACTTTGGATAGTCATCAGCCCCACTGTCACCACAATCATCTTTGTGCACAGGTGATTTTTTTCCTTCTGTATAACAATCTGGCATAAAATCACGTAAGGGTTGGTTTTATTTCCAATCAGCTTAAGGGTATCCTGGGTGCTACTGGGATAGTTAAATTTAATGTAGCTTCCTTGATTACCTAGAAACAATATCAGTAAGTAGGAAGTGGTGCTGTATAACTTCTAGCTACCAGACTAACCTGGTAGTTAGCTTAATGATTTTGAAATTGCAGCTTTCCCACAATTTTGCCGATTCCTTTTCTATATATGGGAGGCAGCATTGTATGATGACAAGAATGTTGGAGTTAGAAGGCTGAAATTGAGTGTGGACTCTTGACTAGCTGAACCCATGGTGACATACTAACCATGTGACTAAAGGCACAGACTCACAGTAGTAGTATGGCTATGAGCAATTCACTTACCCTTACTCAGCCTCAATTTCCTCATAAAAGAAAATGGAAATAATGATACTTGTACTACCTACCTCACAGGGTTGTTGTGAATAAAGTGTTTTGTAAACCTTAAAACCCTATATAAATTTTAGTAAATTATTCCTAGATTATCTTAGGAAATTGTCTTGGCCAGGGTTAATAACCCGTAAATTGGCTCCGTTATTGTAGTACAGATACATGATTTTTGAGAGAGTAAAAGTATGGGTTATTTTTGTGAGTCATGTTATTCTTTAGTGCCATGGGCAAATTAGAACTTTATATAAACACAAGACCTAGTGGAAGAATTCAGGATTTTGGATATCTAAATTTAGTCCTGATTATCATTTTAACTAGCTTTTGTGACTTTGAGCAAGTTACTTCTTCACATCTTTTCCTCCTCTGTCAAATGAGTCATAGGATTATGGCTGTCAAGCTGGAAGGGAAGAAGTAATATCTGCCCTCCTACTTTGGAAGAATGTTGTCTGGGCCAAATGATACCATGTAGATAATAAAAGCACTTTGAAAAGTTTTAAAGCACATGTGCACCTATGCAAACACAAAGATATTGTTAGTACATGAATAGATAACATTAATGCCATGTCTTGCTATCTAATAATTTCTGAGTATTTTTATTGCTTTCATCAAAATAGAGCCCCTCTCTCTCAGCCTCAGTATCGTTATCTGTAAAATGGGGGTGATAAGAATGCTTTATTATTTCTTTCACAGGGTTGTTGAGGATCAAATGAAATAATAAATGCCAGTTACCTCATTTTGAAATCTATATACAGATCAATGCTTGTTGATTGATTTTGGAGGGGTTAGTTTGGGCTTTTGTCACGGGGGGGGGATTGGTTAACTACTCATTTTGTAGTTTTCACATTTGATATTGTAAACCAGATTTCTGCAGATAACTTGCTAATAAAACTTTTTTTAATCAGTGTTTTGGCAGGCATATTATTTTACATTTTATCTTCAGAGAGTGAATGACTAGATAAATATAAATGTTAGGCCTTCCTGAAGTTAAGCAAAACAGATAGAAACTCTAAATAATCAACATTAAATATAATGGCACTCATTTTTTTTGCTTTCTTGGATTCATCAGAGATAACTTAGTAACATGAGCAGGCTTCTGTGTTTTTATTTTATTGTTCTCTTGTATAGTGTATTGATAGTTGATAAGCAAACTGGAGAAAATTACTACCTAATTGTTTTTAAAGATTAATGATTAGAATTGCCAAAATAAGATATCAGTGTGCTTCCTGTTCAAAAACAGAAGAGGGCAGTGGAGTTCTGTTCAAGATAAAAAGCAACTTAGGTACATTAAAAATTAAAATGTTACGGTCCCATTAAAACGTACTTTTAATTTTCCCCCTTTTTCTCAGTCTAACAGTGAAAATCATTATTTCAGTTGATTTAGCGTGTTTAAAGGATGATTGGAAGGCATTTTCCCATTAGATCTCTTAGTTAAAACAAAGATAATGCCTTCCATAATTTAGTCTGTTGGCCAGAGGCTGAAATCTTGGCATTAGGCAGATGTGTTAGTACACCTTGCTGTTGTAAGTTTGGTATAACAACGTATAGCGATAGCGATGAACACAGGGTTTCCTGACTCTGAGACCTGCTTTCTAGCCATCACACTGCACTATCTCTTCCAATTTGTGTGTAGTCAGTACTAGATGCATGCTTGTTAATGAATGAATACATCGGTGAGCACCAAATAAAATCACAAAATATGAAGTTGTATCTTAATAGGCAGGAAATGACCACTCATGGGAATTATGCTAGAATTAAGTGGTTTGTGCAGACAATGAAAAGTTAGAGCACTGATTCCAACATCATTTATTCTTCAGTCCCTTTCAGCAACAACGAGATGTGTTGTGAATCCCCAAGGTATTTTAATATGCTACTCAATATTCTTTTAGATTTATTCATTAGCTGCTTACAATAACTACAATAATTATTTTTGTCCTCCAAAAGTTCCCATTTAAATTATATAATTATACACTGTTATTTTGCCCATAATTACAAAAAGAATATAAAATTATGAAATTATAATTATTTTTAAAATTACAAATGCTTTTGTCTGGGACATTCTTTAAGAATTGAAGTAATCCAGCAAGATTTCACATTAAATTTATTTCACAAATTTTATTCAATGTGACATTTTTGGTGGAATAAGTTACAACTTGGAAGGTGTTTAATAATCAAGTACGAATTTAATTTCAGTGTTGGAATTATATTTGAAAAAGTTTTGCAATATTTGGCTAACCACCAAAAGAACAGTCTTACCTGTTTCAATAAAGTAAATATGCTCACACAAATTTATGGTGGAGAATGGTAGGAGAAATTTACAATTTTTAAATTTTTTTTTTCCGTCTTGCAGAATACAATCTCATCTGAGAGATGGAAATTCATTTAAAAATAATTTAGCCTCCTAACCAATTGGTGAAAATGAGTAGCTAAATGTGATTTTAAAAATATTTTTCTACTGGCTAATGAAAAGTACATTATTAAATGATAAGCATATTTAAAAATCAGTTGCATATGTTGCTTCATTTCTAATAAATTTTATATATAAACTAATCTTTGTACTTTAGATTGATGTCTACCACTAGACATACCAGCTACCCTCTCACAGTAACCCTACTGAATGACTGACCAATGTTGCCTCATTCATTTGAAAATCTGCCAGATAGAAAAATAGTAATATAAGTGGGGCATAAGTTTAAATTAGAAAACAGCCTTAATGCTGTAATGAGAAGCAATATAAGGTTTGTTTCCTTAGAACATTTATGGTGAACCGTGAGAGTTTTAAGATGACTTCTAATGCTCCTACCTAGCAATCATGGCTTTCAAATAGCCTGACATTTGTACTTCAAGAATGCAAACATCTGTTAACATCTTGATGATGTGATTATATAGCTGCTGAGACAGGATTACAAGGTAATGGGATGAAAGGACTGCTTTGGTGCAATGTACAGAATGCACGTGATAATGAGCATATGCACCTGGTCATCCATATGGAATAGATTTGCTTTTGAATGTTGAACCCTTTTGAAGGTTTGGAAACAATTTGATGACAGGTTAAGAAATTTCAGTAATGTGTTGCACTTGGTCAAAAGCAGTCAGAGTTTGATAGAAACAGTGCATGAACACCAAAAATTGTGCACATGATCATGATGGTTTTAAAATTGCAGGAAAAAAACCCTGTAATGTTTCAGACATGCACATACTTGTTCTCACAGAGGAAAAATAGATCTGTAACATAATTGGGTGGTTATTGCTTAAGGTACCTTAAAGAATTTTTAGTATGAGCCTTTTGGACCATAGTCATGAATCCCCAAGGGATTCACAAAACACTAACTAAGTGGAATCCACTGAATTAGGACAAAGGTTAAAGTCAATATCACATTAGAATACAAGATATTGAAGAGCGGAAGATGAATACAACTTTAAGCTGATCTATTCCAATAAACCATCAGTACCAAAAATGGGAAACTGGAAAAAGGCAAAAATAGTCACTATTTTCTACTAAGATTTAACAGAGGTAAAGCAGCCATGAGGAGGGCAAAAAAGAGACTGCTTCAGAAAGCAAACAATTGATTTTACCAAATCAGATGGGAGCCAAGGACAACATTAATTTAGAATATAAACACATTTTCTTCTTTCTTTTTACTATGCATTCGATAACTGTCAATAAAAACAAATAATGTAAAATTGGAAGTAAAATCTTAGATGATACTCTTAGCATTGAATAAAGTGGAACCAAATGATAAATGACAGAGGCTAATTAAGTGCTTTCTCCTTCTGTCTCCTTCTAGGTATGTATAAAGTGTTGCTGGGGGAGGGAGGAGCAGAGAAGAAAGAGTTGTCAATTGCAGAGTAGCATTATAAATCTGGAAAAGCAGCCCTGGGGAAGTTGGCTCTCGCCAGAGGGGTGCATTTCTGGATTCCCTTGCTCCAAGTTATTTTCTCACTCTGAAGCCCTGCAACTGTCTTCTTGATTCTGTTCTCACAAAATTCTCTCTCTTAGGCATTCACCTGCCCTCATTTTCATTTGTTGGGTATATCCTTTTAAAAGGTAAGCTTGTCACTGAGCAACCTGTGAAGCAACATCAGTCTGTTTATGTCGCTCCCTGGCTTCCTTCTCATAGTAGCTGTTTACAATTGAAGAGTCGATTTTGTTTCTGAGTGTGGTGTTGCTGTTGCCTTTATCGAGGTCAGCCTCTTTGGTTTGCATAGAATTCCTGTGTTCTTTTAATGTTACCTTTTGCTTCTCTTCTGCCAGGATGTCCTTCACTTCAGGATTTTCGTGTTCCGAATCTGTTAATCACAGCTTTGACAATATTTGACATCATGGAGTCAAAAATTTCCTACTCTGCTAATTCAAATCAACAATCATTTATTCAATACCTATCATGCATTAGCCACTGTGCTGAGTGCTGGGGATGCAAAAGCAAAAAATAGCCTCTGTTCTCAAAGAAGCTCCCAGTCAAATGGAGAAGACGAAATGCAAAATGCAAATAACTATTTATAAACTATTATATCATTGTTATCCTTCCTGTAAAATATGAACATATAGAAAAACAGTATGTGGAAAAGTTTAGAAAAAGAATGAAGAAAATGAGAGAGGAAAATGACCAAAGATAGCCGTGGAATGTAGTAGTCCTTCATACTTGAAGAGGACCAAAATGGCATCACTGTCAGGGTTGATGTACAATGTGTCTATGACTGATCAGACCAATACAAGCTCAGAAGGTTCAACCATAAGTCAGGCACAAATAGTGTGTATGAACATTTGGAATAGAGATGTCTCAAAATTGGCACATCCCATGTTTCTCTTGAGCTATTGCAATTCTGCTTCATTCATAGAGCACAGTACCTTCTTTGATGCAGGCGCACCATGCTGGGCAGTCCTCTTCCGATGTCTCTCATGTCTCACAATTCTGAAGTTCTTTACAGAGACCTTGAGAGTATACTTATATCACTTCTTCTGACCTCCATGAGACTGCGTGCCTTGTGGGAGTTCTGGGTAAAGTAGTCCTTTAGACAATCATATGTTTGGTATTTGAACAGCATGGCCAGCCCATTGGAGTTATAATGCCTGGCAGTTCAGCTCAAGAAAGGACCTCAGTGTATGGTACCTTATCTTTCCAGGTGATCTCAGAATTTTCCTAAGATGATTCAAATGGAAGCAGTTCAGTTTTCTGGCATGGCACTTGCCAGGTTTCACAGGCATACAACAATGAGGTCAACACAACAGCTCTGTAGACCTTCAGTTTGGTAGGTAGCCTAAATCTCTCCCACATTTTCCTTCAGATCTCCCAAATACTGAATTAGTTCCTATGTATACACCAACCTCATCACCTATGTGTACATCCCTGGAAAGTACACTGCCAAGGTCAGTGAACTTATCCATAGCATTCGAAATTTCTCCATTTGCTGTAACCAGTGGTTCCACACATGGATGGTGTGGTACTTGCTGATGGAGAACCTTTGTTGGCCAAAATAAGCACAAGTAGCATAGATCTATACTCTAATGCATCTCAGCCTCAGAGACTGCATTTAGTACACAATCATTGGTGAACAAAAAGGTCAAGCAACAACTTTCCCTCCACTTTAACCTTGGCTTGTAACCTTTTCAAGTTAACAACTTTACCATCAGTGCAGCAGCTGACCTTGATGCCGTTTTTGTCCTTGCTGAAGGCATCTTATAACGTCTCTGAAAACATCATGCTAAAAAGCAGGGGAGCAAGCAGGCACACAGCCTTGTTTTACTCCATTGGTATCTGGAAAAGGCCAGAGAATCATAAATATCCAGAACCCTTGCAGACAAGCCATGGTGGAACTGGCATACAACACTGATGAACTTCTCTTGGCAACCAAATTTTGCCATAATCTTCCACAATCCCTCACGACTGACAGTGTCAAAGGCCTT